TGTTTAGGGGTAGGGGCAGAAAGACATGTGACTGTGAAAGGTGGGGCCAGGAAACATGTGATTGTGAAAGAGTGGTGGTGGAAGGCATGTGACTGTGTAGGGTGGGCTGGGAGACATGTAACTGTGTAGGGGTGGGAGGGTGGGAAAGACATGTGACTGTGTAGGGTGGGCTGGGAGACATGTAACTGTGTAGGAATTGAGGGTGGGAGACATGTGACTGTGTAGGGTGGGCTGGGCTAGGGAGACATGTAACTGTGTAGAGGGTGGGAGTGGGAGACATGCGTCTGTGTAGAGATTAGGGATGGGAGACATGTGACTGTGTAGGGTGGGGGTGAGAGACATGTGACTGTGTAGTGTGGGGAGGTGGGAGACATGTGACTGTGCTGGGTGAAAGTGGGAGACACCTGTCTGTGTAGGGTTGGGATGGGAGACACTATTATGTGAGAGTGTGACTGTATTGGGTATGGTAGGAATAGAGGAGACATGTGACTGTGTAGGGTAGGGAGACACCTTGGAGAGACATGTGACTGTGTAGGGGTGGGAGTGGGATACATGTGACTGTGTAGGGTGGGGCTGGAGTGGCATGGACTACAATGTAGAGGTGGGGCTGGAACATGTGACTGTGGTGTGACTGTAGGGTGGGCTAGGAGACATGTGACTGTGTATGGGTGGGGAGTGGGAGACATGTGACTGTGTAGGGTGGGGTGGTAGACATGTGACTTTGTAGTGTGGTGGTGGGAGACATGTGATTGTGTAGAATTGGGGGTGGGAGACATGTGACTGTTTAGGAGTAGGGGCAGAAGACATGTGACTGTGAAAGAGTGGGGCCAGGGAAACATGTGATTGTGAAAGAGTGGTGGTGGAAGGCATGTGACTGTGTAGGGTGGGCTAGGAGACATGTAACTGTGTAGGGTGGGAGTGGAAAGCATGTGACTGTGTAGGGTGGGCTGGGAGACATGTAACTGTGTAGGGTGAGGATGGAAGGCATGTGACTGTGTAGGGTGGGCTGGGAGACATGTAACTGTGTAGGGTGGGAGTGGGAGACATGCGTCTGTGTAGGGTGGGGATGGGAGACATGTGACTGTGTAGGGTGGGGGTGAGAGACATGTGACTGTGTAGTGTGGGGGTGGGAGACATGTGACTGTGCTGGGTGAAAGTGGTAGACACCTGTCTGTGTAGGGTTGGGATGGGAGACATGTGACTGTATTGGGTGAGAGTGGAAGACATGTGACTGTGTATGGTAGGGATGGGAGACATGTGACTGTGTAGGGTGGAGTGGGAGACATATGACTGTGTAGGGTGGGGTGGGAGACATGTGGCTGTGTATTGTAGGGGTAGGAGACATGTGACTGTGAAGGGTGGGGGTGGGAAACATGTGACTGTGTAGGGTGGGGCTGGATGGCATGTGACTGTGTAGAGTGGGCTGGGAGACATGTGACTGAGCAGGGTGGGCTGGGAGACATGTAACTGTGTAGGGTAGGGGTAGGAGACATGTGACTGTGTAGGGTGGCGGTGGGAGACATGTGACTGTGTAGGATGGGGTGGTAGACATGTGACTTTGTAGTGTGTTGGTGGGAGACATGTGATTGTGTAGGGTGGGGGTGGGAGACATGTGACTGTTTAGGGTAGGGGCAGGAGACATGTGACTGTGAAGTGTGGGGGTGGGAAACATGTGATTGTGAAGAGTGGTGGTGGGAGACATCTAACTGTGTAGGGTGGGGTGGGAGACATGTGACTGTGTAGGGTGGAGGTGGGAGACATGTGACTGTGTAGGGTGGGGTGGTAGACATGTAACTGTGTTGGGTGGGGGTGGGAAACATGTGACTGTGTAGGGTCGGGGTGGGAAACATGTGACTGTGTAGGGTGGGGGTGAGATACATGTGACATGGAGGTAGAAGATGTGTTATCTTTAACAGTTATATCTTCGGAAGTCAATTTATTCTATGTATCATAACTACCCGACAAAAAGCACAAAGGCAAGAATTTATGGCTGTCAGCTTCTGTATTTTGCTAAATAAATAAACAAGTTGCCTTTGTGTGAATCAATTCTGAATGCCTTTCAAAGATTCCATTACTAAAGGACTCGAAAGTTTCTGCTTGTAAGATATCATAATGATGATCATTTGCTAAAATATATATTAACGTAATTATTAGCAGTCGTTCACCAAACAATAATAAATGTATATTTCTCTTTAACAATCGCAAACAGGATATTATTTTCATGAAAAGGCACTTAAAATAATATTTTATTTCAACTGTTAAAAGTCCCAAAATAGACACACACAAATAATCTGAAACTGAAGAATTCGAGGAGAATGCAAACATGATTTCGTGTACCGGATATCTTCCATTTCTTGCTGCCATTAACCTGGTGAAATTTAAAATGAATACGCATTAATAAAGTATAAAGAAAGATAAAGTTTAATTTCAACTGTACAGTGAAATAATCGAAGCACGGTGTTTAAAATTAAAGTTTATTAGGTTGTTTTTTTAACATATTGTTTTGAAACTCGCAGCTCCTTATAATATTATCTTAAAATGTCGGAAAGCGCCCGTAAAAACTCGAAACCATGCCCGCAAGATCCTTAGAGAAAACACTCAGTTGGAAACGAGAGCCGTTATGTTAACACGTGTCATTGAATTTTTCACCGTACATGGCCCTATTCGTATTAAAAAATTAAATTGGGCAACACAATGAATGTTCGTTATCATATCAAAATGACGATAATATGTATTGACGATCTTTTAAAGAATCCCAAAAAGCCATAGCAAGTACTTGGCGTCCGTCACTGCGAGATAATGTTAATTCATTATTTAACTGTTGGGTTGTTGTTTAACGCCGCACTCAACAATATTCCAGCCGTATGGCGGCAGTCATGAGTATCGATCTACGCAATTGGGATACTATGACATGTGTCAACCAAGTCAGCAAGCCTGACCACCCGATCCCTTAATTAGTAAGCCTCTTATGACATGTATGCCTTGCTGAAGATCAACCCGGATCTTCCTGGGCAGATCAATGGTAAATATGAAGGGGTCGTTACCACACGTAAGGAGACAGCTGTTTGCATAAGGCAGCAAAGGCAACTACGCTAGCAATAACTATTGGGTGCAGGGGTAGCCTAGTGGTTAAAGCGTTCGCTCGCCACGCCTAAGCCCTAAGTTCGATTCACCAAACGGGTACGATGTGTGAAGCCCGTTTCTGGTGTCCGTGATACTGTGATATTGCTGGAATATTGTAAAAGCGGTGTAAAACCATACTCACTCACCCCCTGCAATACCTATACAATTTGGACGTTTGGATGGACATCGACAGATATGTAGTCAATTTATATTCAAACATGGCCCTGAACGCTGAGGAGGTAAACAATCGAGTGGTACTGGTTTGAAGCCCAACTGAAAATTTTCATTTTCGCTCAGATTCTGTATAGCGTCACCAGGGAAGAACTGAGTCACAGTTGGTCTTCAGCAACCCATGCTTGTCGTAAGAGGCGATCATGTTTGTAGATCGATGCTCATGATGTTGATCACAGAATTGCTGGGCCATTTTATAATACAATAGAAGCCATGTGTAACACTCAGTATAACTACAATGACCTTGGAATAGTTTCTGAACAATGTCTTCAAAGTAACTTAATAGGTTCAACAAGTGAAATGACAAGTCAGATGCTCTAGCTGGATGAATCGGCGAATAACACTCAAGAAAAAATGTTAAATTTTGTTTTATTCAAACACAAGAGAATAAGTGCAATATACTGGAAAACACAGGATGCGTTGGGCATCATTAGTTACACACAGTTGCTGAAATGAAGTAACCGAAAATGTACAGTGGGCTATTCTGCAACCTATCGATTCCAAGATGGAGCTGACAAAAAGTCATAGCCTTGGTACCAATACAAGGAAAGAGGTTCATTTCTTGGATTAAGGAGTGCCGACGGTCTAGGTAATTGTCAGCAAGTTGCTTTAAGGGAAGCTGACAAAATAATTGCCCGATTGTACTTCGAAATTCGTAGTGGAGCTGTTGGAATTTTGAGAGTTCACTCGTGGAAGGTTGAAGTCGTGGAAAGTAGGTCCGGAACAACAATGAACTCCATTACAACGAACACGATTATAACAAACTGACGGATATAACGAACTGTTTTCTTTGGAGTTTTTGTCTATTCAAGTCGAAATCTTGTTCTGTATACTTCGTTATAACTGTAGTTCAGTGTAAGAAACCTTAGGTGTTTCACATCTCTCCTTAATTTCTAGTTCATCCGGGTAAAAGAAGGATTTTGGTTGTTTGATGACTATTGAACAGATCATTAAGACATCTGAAGTTTCAAATCCCTTGTTTTGCCAAACCAAGAAGAAATTCCTCTTCAAATGCTCACTTCGTGTCCATGCTTATGCCTACGTCTTGCCATAATGTCATATCCCCAAACTCTACATCAGAGTTGTATCGGAAGAATTTCAACTGCAGATGACTTCCATATGACATTGTCCTGAACCTCTGGAGATGGATATGTAAAGCTATGTTCACGACGTTGCCGCCCACAGAAAATGAAGTATACTGTTCGGGGTAGCGGTGTACAAAGTCGAAACTCTTTCTAAAAATAACTTGTTTTCCTGAGGTTGCAAAACGTAGTAGTTTTTATTTGAGTATCCACGAGGCATAATTAACTTTTCTCAAATACGTTTTCTTGACAGAATCGATAATATTTTTTTCAGAAGATACGTATTTCATCTTTTCAATTTTTATCACCTTGTTGCGTATCTAGTGGACTGAGGGACACACAGACAGGAATATACTGTAATATGTATTACAACATCACTCGAGTGAGTGAGTGAGTTTAGTTTTACGCTACACTCAGCAATATTCCAGCTATATGGCGGTGGTCTGTAAATAATCGAGTCTGGACCAGACAATTCAGTGATGAGCATGAGCATCGATCTGCGCAATTGGGAACCGATGACATGTGTCAACCAAGTCAGCGAGCCTGACCACCCGATGCCGTCAGTCGTCTCTTACGACAAGCATGGGTTACTGAATATCCATATTCTAACCCGGACCTTCACGGGTAACAACATCACTCGCGCACAGTTTGCTCACAATAATTAAAATGAAACAATAAGACTGCTCCTTCAGAGGAAGGTGGCACACAAACATGAACGTAAACATGAAGTAGAGATACATCCTTGATAGAGTATGTGTGTTTCAGCACATACCAATCTGAATCACCTCCTTCAGATTAACCTGACACACGAACATGGGAACAGCGTTATCATAGTGACAGAAGTAATCGTGCCATCCATTTACGTTATCCGCACCCGCACGTACCAGAATACACTGTTGAACAGGGCCTGAATCTGGTTGAGTCACGTCCCAGTAGGTTGTGTTGATGAGAGTTCCATCTGACCATGTCCACTTTCCAGTAACACTGTCTTCCAAACCATTTACCCATACGAAAGCAGCTGTGAACACAAACGCAGTAAGTATTTAATTAACTTAACAAGGGGTGACCATGAGTGACACATTAAACATTTTATATATATACATAAAATATGAGTCCAGGTATTTCTTCTTGTCAAATCTCCTTTATATCTGCACAAGATCTTTCGCAGTTCTACGGCTCTTCAGGTGTGCAATGATGAAAACAGCTATATCAACAACTCAAGGCTTTATTGTATACATACTGTGGAGGTAAAATCAACCACAGTAGAATACTTTTATAACGAACACGGATATAACGAACTGACGGCTATAGCGAACTGTTTTAAAAGTCCCGATAAACCTTATATTATCATATAAAAAAGTCAATAGCGAACTACGGACATAACGAACTAATTTCAGTGGTCCCTTGGAGTTCGTTATGCTCTATTTTCCAAGATTTTAAAGAGCATCAAAAGACTCATGCTCAGAAGTTGTTCCATCCAGGTTACAACATTCAAATCCTCAGTAGTGTTTTCAAAAAGTTTTATAGTAGACACGTGGAGGACAGTCCAAAATTTGATGCATCAGTGACAAAAATTATGTCTGATGCAACTCCCTAGTTTGACTTGTACTTGATTTACCGCTGTTACATTGCTGAGTGTTTTGTTTGTTTGTTTGTTTGTTTGTTTGTTTGTTTGTTTGTTTTTGTTTGTTTGTTTGACGCCAAACTCATCAATATTCCAGCTATATGGGGTCAGTCTGTAAATACTCGAGTCTGGACCAGACAATCCAGTCATCAACAGCATGAGCATGGATCTAAGCAATTTTGTTTGGAAGTAGAGAACCAAATCCCTGATTTATTCAGTTCATCTACACGCACTACAAATATTTGCCTTTAACAGTATTGTTTTTAAAAGACAAGAGTTATACAGGTAGAATATTGCTGAATGTGGCGTCAAACAACAAACAAACAAACACAATAAGGTGTTAATAGTAAAGTAATTGCATTGATGTTTCAAATATACGTCTTTCTGTTTCAAGTAAGTTGACATACTACACATGCATATCCGTACAGGTCTTTACAAACTTCAAATATCAGGTTAGAATTATACTTTTAAGAGGGTAATTCTATTGCCCAGTAGCAACCTACAATAAGAATCGGAAATCTTGTTCATAAATGCATTGATGCCAAGACTGTCCACTTTGATGAGATATCCGCCGTCTTGATTGCATGTATGGTTGGCTTGGAACCAGGATTTTGTTGAGGTGTAGATCTTGTAGCAGAGACCTAGGCTTCGGTACCACGTGTAGCCCTTGTCGCAGTCATCTGAGGGAAAAATATGCTCTCATGGTCATATAAATAAAGTCATCGGAGGAAGAACAATAGGTTGTCATGGTAATATAAATAAAGTCATCTGAGGAAGAACAATAGGTTGTTATGGTAATATAAATAAAGTCATCGGAGGAAGGACAATAGGTTGTTATGGTAATATAAATAAAGTCATCTGAGGAAGAACAATAGGTTGTTATGGTAATATAAATAAAGTCATCGGAGGAAGGACAATAGGTTGTCATGGTAATATAAATAAAGTCATCGGAGGGAACAATAGGTTGTCGTGGTAATATAAATAAAGTCATCTGAGGAAGAACAATAGGTTGTTATGGTAATATAGATAAAGTCATCGGAGGAAGGACAATAGGTTGTCATGGTAATATAGATAAAGTCATCGGAGGAAGGACAATAGGTTGTCATGTAAACATACAAACAAACGAGGTCAACAGATCTGTGTTATAAAGAAATCACGCATCAAGTGAGGTGATGTGTAACTTCACAATCTCTTGACTGAGTATACTAGATGAAAGCCACCCTAAGACGTGCCAATCATGTTTATACTAATTATTTGCATCAAAGAATTGTATTGGCTTTCATCAGGATGGTGAACCCTTTCTGCCACGAGTGTAGGAGTGTAGGAGCTTTAGAATGTTGCAGTTAGATGTTCTATTATTCGATTTTACACCTGGTTATAGTTGGGGTCTCTCATTTCCACTTCATGTTCATCATTGACATACACTGAGACTGGCTTATGTTGGTTTGTAAACAATGGTTTTACAATTTATTGATCATTTAGGTAAGCCTATTCTGATTCAGACAATGTATGGTAAGCCATGTTGTCTTACCATAAACTTGATATCATTTGCCTTGTTTTAAGACAGGGAATCAGTTTCAACTTCAGCATAATCAAAAGCGGCATCTTAAGCTTTGGAAACAAAGGTCCCCATAACCATATAGCACTTTTTGCTTAGAGATTCTCACTTTCAATGTGAGTGAATGATTGCGAACATAAAACATACTACCTCTAATATACCTTCTTATTTCATATTCAATTCTACCCATCGTCCCTCATCTAATATCTAACATCTGATATCATTGTCTGACCGATACTCCTTTGTAAGTTCCACATACATCATCCACTGCCTGCCTATGGGATACTAGTATCCACTTTCATCATTTATCTTTGCGATCCCTGAGCCCCACCTAGAAGGAAACACCTCCAAAATACACCCACAAGCTCTCTGCCAGTTCCGCAAGGTAGATGACACTTTTGTCATCCAATTTTTTTATATCCTAAGTACCAACATTTAAAGCATCTAAAGCCATGGGAAAACTGCCATCAACCTGGAACCAAATGCACCATTAAGGCCACGGGAAAACTACCACCAACCTGGAACCAAAGGCACCATTAAAGCCACGGGAAAACCATCATCAACCTGGAAGAAAAGGCACCATTAAAGCCACGGGAAAACCACCATCAGCCTGGAAGAAAAGGCACCATTAAAGCCACGGGAAAACCACCATCAGCCTGGAAGAAAAGGCACCATTAAAGCCACGGAAAACCACCATCAGCCTGGAAGAAAAGGCACCATTAAAGCCACGGGAAAACCACCATCAGCCTGGAAGAAAAGGCACCATTAAAGCCACGGGAAAACCACCATCAGCCTGGAAGAAAAGGCACCATTAAAGCCACGGGAAAACCACCATCAGCCTGGAACCAAAGGCACCATTAAAGCCACGGGAAAACCACCATCAGCCTGGAAGAAAAGGCACCATTAAAGCCACGGGAAAACCACCATCAGCCTGGAATCAAAGGCACCATTAAAGCCACGGGAAAACTACCACCAACCTGGAATCAAAGGCACCATTAAAGCCACGGGAAAACCACCATCAGCCTGGAAGAAAAGGCACCATTAAAGCCACGGAAAACCACCATCAACCTGGAATCAAAGGCACCATTAAAGCCACGGGAAAACCACCATCAACCTGGAAGAAAAGGCACCATTAAAGCCACGGGAAAACCACCATCAACCTGGAAACCAAAGGCACCATTAAAGCCACGGAAAACCACCATCAACCTGGAATCAAAGGCACCATTAAAGCCACGGGAAAACCACCATCAACCTGGAAGAAAAGGCACCATTAAAGCCACGGGAAAACCACCATCAACCTGGAATCAAAGGCACCATTAAAGCCACGGGAAAACCACCATCAGCCTGGAAGAAAAGGCACCATTAAAGCCATGGGAAAGCCATCATCAGCCTGGAAGAAAAGGCACCATTAAAGCCACGGGAAAACCACCATCAGCCTGGAAGAAAAGGCACCATTAAAGCCATGGGAAAACCACCATCAGCCTGGAAGAAAAGGCACCATTAAAGCCACGGGAAAACCATCATCAACCTGCAACCAAAGGCACCATTAAAGCCACGGGAAAACCACCATCAACCTGGAACCAAAGGCACCATTAAAGCCACGGGAAAACCACCATCAACCTGGAACCAAAGGCACCATTAAAGCCACGCGAAAACCACCATCAGCCTGGAACCAAAGGCACCATTAAAGCCACGGAAAACCACCATCAACCTGGAACCAAAGGCACCATTAAAGCCACGGGAAAACCACCATCAACCTGGAACCAAAGGCACCATTAAAGCCACGGAAAACTACCATCAGCCTGGAACCAAAGGCACTATTAAAGCCACGGGAAAACCACCATCAACCTGGAACCAAAGGCACCATTAAAGCCACGGGAAAACCACCATCAACCTGGACGCAAAGGGACAAGTATGCCACAATCATCCAAATCACGCAGCCTGACTACACACATCCTCGATAATCTCCAGGATAGACGTTCCGATAAATCTCCACTGGTCACTCGTTCTAACTCAACATGCACATTTACCCTATTGCGTTGTCGCATGGTTGTAATTGCAAATATATTGTACTTCTTCAAATACGTTAGTGGGTATTCTGTGTTACTGTACCATTACAATTTCCATAATACATAAAAAATATATTCTTACGGTATGTATAACATCCCATTATATACTACCCATCAAAAGTTTAGACTCACTAGTGTAAATGTAGCCACTTACTTCAGTCAACTGTACTAAACTACATTTTGCAAAATATTCCATTCTCTTTAAAGGTACTGTTTACACATGAACTGATGTATTGTAAAACAAATTCGTAACGTTGAAAAGATTATTGTCATGAGTTCAAGAAATGATGAAAATCAGTGATAATTGGCAAATTCTTAACAAAACTTTACACCAAAACGCAGCTGTTCACATGCAGGATATTTGCACGTGCTTTTTAGCAATGTGATGCATGATCCTCCTGCAGTTCATCAGCATAAAGTTTGCAGTTGGTTTCCCCAAGTTTGTTGAGAAATTTATTTTCGATGTAACCATATATATATACATAACAGATAGTGTGTGCTTTAAGTGAGGCTAAACTTTTGATGGGCAGTATAGTTAAACGTTGCATATCGCCAGCGACGGCGTATATATTTGTTGCATCAAAAATAACACTAGTGATATCTTTTCATGCATCACGTGGAAGATATCATGCTGAATTTTTTGTGAGGTAGTCATTTAACTTAATATTTCAGGGTATTGGTCAGATTTTAATGAAATTCCACTATCGCCAATTCTTTTGTATTTAACGTTATGCTCCAAAAGAAAGAAAACAACATCAAAAGAGAAAAAATACACCCAGTAACTTTACGAAAAAATCGTTCATGAAAGACACTGAACATCAAATTCATTTGTTGTAATAATGTTAAACTATTAATTTGTTAAACTATTAAAAGACAATGTTGGTAAGATACAAAATGTACCAGAAGATGAGTACATGTGTTAATATATATGCAGCGGTAAGAACTACTAGATACCAGGGTCTATTTTACGTATACGACGTTATAAGACCTCTATACATAACCTGTAGCCTTTTGTACATCTATATGATCATCTGGTAAGGAATATGCAGTACCTAAGTGTCCTTTTCCCGACGTCTCCTATATTCGCACTGTATCATTTGTAAGTAACTTGCGTTTCCCCGTCTCATATTAATGACTAATGTATTTTACGTTACGCATTCTACGTTACGATATTTTACGTTACAGTTACGTTATATAGCTATTTAACATCACATAATCTGCATACGCCACTAACAAATTGTTGACGCCATGAAAACATGTTGCGTCCTTCATGCTGATGTCAATGTGCGTGCTGCTCATGATCTGAAGCTCTGACGGGTTAAATCATCGGTATGTAAGTACTGAACTTTTAACCTTATGATTCTTGTATATGTGTTCAAGTCAAACTATTAAACGTCTAGCAATGCATGTAATCAAGATATTCTAATGAGATGTATCATGTATATTCATGCTCTGTAATGAAAATCATACTAAAATTACCATACATACCATCCCATGGCATTCGTAACGTAAAATACAGTTGCTGTAACGTAAAATACATTTAGATTGTGCAGGCTTTAAACGAACATAGATGCCTAAGTATATAATCCAACGTTTGTTGCCAAAGGTTTGTTAAAGATATGTAATTAATTTATTTGTATTTGCAGCGTTCTGATAGTGAGAAAAAAATGCAGCTGTTATGTTTCACAGTATATTACGTTACAGCTGTATTAGATGTTTATTACCTTACAGTGATACATTTAATAACCGCTATGGAACAAATAGATATATTTCCGCATAACGTCGCATACCTCATACGTTGTGTATAAATATAGAAATGCCCTCGTAAGGCATTCAATATTACTTTAGATGAACTAGAGAATCTATTTGGAAATTCTTGTTTGAAGTTTCACCAATTGTCAATTTTATGGACAAATTCTATATAACACCTCATTAATCTTTTGATTTATTTGTGTTGAAATTAACTTTAGTTTGTTAAAGGATTTTAGCAACAATTAAAACATGTTGTACTATAGTTTTACATATATCTAACATAATATTATTTTGTGTGACGTAAAACACACTAGAAAATACCCCCACTGAAAGTAATTGCCCTTTTTTAACAAACCATAAGACATTGTATCCTATGATTCTGTACATAGGTCAAGTAATTAATACTTGTCGCTGTCATATCGAATATATTGTGTTCAGATGAAAAGAAATTCCGATTTCCATGATGACAAATGTGCACGCTCACAGAGAATGAGTGTGGATACCCTGGATGCATTTACAGCTCAGCCCGATAATATTATTACTTCCCTTTGATGTTTTTTATCCAAGCAAGTACCAACTCACAAAGCTTCTATCATAACCAACATTTTACTTATTTTATCTAACCGATTAAACATCGTAACACAATTGTTGCAGAGGTATAATGAATTCTGGCAGATGCCTCATACTATAAATATATAGAAAGGGTTTCGTCGCTTATATTTACATTCAAAAAGAGTCGTTAACACACCTTCTTTCCATTCAAGATACTGCATGTTGGTGTGTGTGCTCGTCAAGTCACGTTCTAGGAACACCTCGGCAGACAGCTGGCACTTCTTGGTGCTACCATCATAGAAGACAGAGGAACAGTTCCCTTGATGATAACATCTTGACACACAGTCTACCCTTGACGAGACAGGGACACCGGGTGGCAGGGAGGCCAGATACATCCCTTGGAGTACAACGACCATCGTTAAACCCATTATCGAAGTGTCTTTCTTCACGACTGAAAGCAATGTGCAGATCCATTTGGTGTAGACATCATCTGTATGAGCATTCTTAAAGATTCAAACAACGTATCCACTTTGTTACGAAAGTACCATGTGACCACGTTTCACACTAAACATAAAGAGTGAAAGACTCACCCACGCATAAATAATTTGCCACAATCAAAAGAACTTTTCTACGTCACAGCGCACAGTTTGTAATGCTTAATTGGTTTTAATTGTCCTCGTATAATTGATTTTCGGACGCTTCAGAACATCGCTTGCTCTGTAGATTACCGCATGAACAATTGTAAACCGTGTCACTAACTTATTCAAGACGTTTTCTTAACCAAATCCAATCATCGAAGTATTTGCAGGGATTGTGTGACGCTAATCGCACCTTTATCGCCTCTAAATATGTAACGGTGGGGATGAGAAACGTGTAAGTGTGAAGTGGTGGGGATGAGAGACGTCTAAATATGTAGTAGGTGGGGATGAGAGACGTCTAAATATGTGGTAGGTGGGGAGAAGAGACGTCTAAATATGTAGTAGGTGTGATGAGAGACGTCTAAATATGTGGTAGGTGGGGATGAGAGACGTCTAAATATGTAGTAGGTGAGAATGAGAGACGTCTGAATATGTAGTGGGTGGGGATGAGTGACGTCTAAATATGTAGTAGGTGAGGATGAGTGACGTCTAAATATGTAGTAGCGTGGGGATGACTGACGTCTAAATATGTAGTAGCGTGGGATGAGTGACGTCTAAATATGTAGAGGTGGGGATAAAAGACGACTAAATATGTACTAGGTGGGGATGAGTGACGTCTAAATATGTAGAAGGTGGGGATGAGTGACGTCTGAATATGTAGTAAGTGGGGATGAGAGACGTTTAAATATGTAGTAGGTGGGGATGAGAGACGCCTAAATATGTAGTAGGTGGGGATCAGTGACGTCTAAATGTGTAGTGGTGGGGATAAGAGACGACTAAATATGTAGAAGGTGGGGATGAGTGACGTCTAAATATGTGGTAGGTGAGGATGAGAGACGTCTAAATATGTAGTAGGTGGGGATGAGCGACGTCTATATATGTAGTAGGTGGGGATGAGAGACGTCTCAATATGTAGTAGGTGGGGATAAGAGACGCCTAAATATGTAGTAACGTGGGGATGAATGACGTCTAAATATGTAGTAAGTGAGGATGAGAGACGTCTAAATATGTGGAAAGTGGGGATGAGTGACGTCTAAATATGTAGTAGGTGGGGATGAGAGACGTCTAAATATGTAGTAGCGTGGGGATGAGTGACGTCTAAATATGTAGTTGGTGGGGATGAGAGACGTCTAAATATGTGGTAGGTGGGGATGAGAGACGTATAAATATGTAGTACGTGGGGATGAGAGACGTCTAAATATGTAGTAGCGTGGGGATGAGAGACGTATAAATATGTAGTAGGTGGGGATGAGTGACGTCTAAATATGTAGTAAGTGAGTATGGGAGACGTATACATATGTGGTAGGTGGGGATGAGTGAGGTCTAAATATGTAGTATTTGAGGATCAGTGACGTCTAAATATGTGGTAGTTTGGGATGAGCGACGTGTAAATAAGTAGTTTTGGGGATGAGAGACGTCTAAATATGTGGTAGGTGGGGATAAGTGACGCCTAAATATGTAGTGGTGGGGATGAGAGACGACTAAATATGTAGTAGCTGGGGATAAGAGACGACTAAATATGTAGTAACATGGGGATGAATGACGTCTAAATATGTAGTAAGTGAGGATGAGTGACGTCTAAATATGTGGTAAGTGGGGATGAGTGACGTCTAAATATGTAGTAGGTGGGGATGAGAGACGTCTAAATATGTAGTAGGTGGGGATGAGAGACGTCTAAATATGTAGTAGCTGGGGATGAGCGACGTCTATATATGTAGTAGGTGGGGATGAGAGACGTCTAAATATGTAGTAGCTGGGGATAAGAGACGACTAAATATGTAGTAACATGGGGATGAATGACGTCTAAATATGTAGTAAGTGAGGATGAGTGACGTCTAAATATGTGGTAAGTGGGGATGAGTGACGTCTAAATATGTAGTGATGGGGATGAGAGACGTCTAAATATGTAGTAAGTGGGGATGAGTGACGTCTAAATATGTAGTAGGTGGGGATGAGCGACGTCTATATATGTAGTAGGTGGGGATGAGAGACGTCTAAATATGTAGTAACGTGGGGATGAATGACGTCTAAATATGTAGTAAGTGAGGATGAGTGACGTCTAAATATGTGGTAAGTGGGGATGAGTGACGTCTAAATATGTGGTAAGTGGGGATGAGTGACGTCTAAATATGTAGTAGGTGGGGATGAGAGACGTCTAAATATGTAGTAGCGTGGGGATTAGTGACGTCTAAATATGTAGTTGGTGGGGATGAGTGACGTCTAAATATGTAGTAGGTGAGAATGAGTGACGTCTGAATATGTAGTGGGTGGGGATGAGTGACGTCTAAATATGTAGTAGGTGGGGATGAGAGACGTCTAAATATGTGGTAGGTGGGGATGAGAGACGTCTATATACGTGGTAGGTGGGAATGAGTCACGTCTAAATATGTAGCAAGTGAGGATGAGTAACGTCTAAATATGTAGTGGTGGGGATAAGAGACGACTAGATATGTAGTAGGTGGGGATTAGTGACGACTAAATATGTAGTGGTGGGGATGAGAGACGACTAAATATGTAGTGGTGGGGATGAGTGACGTCTAAATATGTAGTGGTGGGGATGAGAGACGTCTAAATATGTAGTGGTGGGGATGAGAGACGTCTAAATATGTAGTGGTGGGGATGAGAGACGTCTAAATATGTAGTGGTGGGGATGAGTGACGTCTAAATATGTGGTAGGTGGGGATGAGTGACGTCTAAATATGTGGTAGGTGGGGATGAGTGACGTCTAAATATGTGGTAGGTGAGGATGAGAGACGTCTAAATATGTGGTAGGTGGGGATAAGTGACGTCTAAATATGTAGTGGTGGGGATGAGAGACGTCTAAATATGTAGTATTGGGGATGAGTGACGTCTAAATATGTAGTAGTGTGGGATGAGTGACGTCTAAATATGTAGTGGTGGGGATAAGAGACGACTAAATATGTAGTAGGTGGGGATGAGTGACGTCTAAATATGTAGTGGTGGGGATGAGAGACGTCTAAATATGTAGTAGGTGGGGATGAGTGACGTCTAAATATGTGGTGGGTGGGGATGAGTGACGTCTAAATATGTAGTAGGTGAGGATGAGAGACGTCTAAATATGTGGTAAGTGGGGATGAGTGACGTCTAAATATGTAGTGGTGGGGATAAGAGACGTCTAAATATGTAGTAGGTGGGGATGAGAGACGTCTAAATATGTAGTGGTGGGGATGAGGGACGTCTAAATATGTAGTGGTGGGGATGAGGGACGTCTAAATATGTAGTAGGTGGGGATGAGTGACGTCTAAATATGTGGTAGGTGGGGATGAGAGACGTCTAAATATGTAGTAGGTGGGGATGAGTGACGTCTAAATATGTAGTGGGTGGGGATGAGAGACGTCTAAATATGTAGTTGGTGGGGATGAGAGACGTCTAAATATGTAGTGGTGGGGATAAGTGACGTCTAAATATGTAGTGGTGGGGATGAGAGACGTCTAAATGTGTAGTGGTGGGGATAAGAGACGTCTAAATATGTAGTGGTGGGGATGAGTGACGTCTAAATGTGTAGTAGGTGGGGATGAGAGACGTCTAAATATGTGGTATTGGGGATGAGTGACGTCTAAATATGTAGTAGCGTGGGATGAGTGACGTCTAAATATGTAGTGGTGCTGATAAGATACGACTAAATATGTAGTAGGTGGGGATGAGTGACGTCTAAATATGTAGTAGGTGGGGATGAGTGACGTCTAAATATGTAGTAGGTGGGGATGAGTGACGTCTAAATATGTGGTGGGTGGGGATGAGTGACGTCTAAATATGTAGTAGGTGGGGATGAGAGACGTCTAAATATGTAGTAGTGGGGATGAGTGACGTCTAAATATGTAGTGGTGGGGATGAGAGACGTCTAAATATGTAGTGGTGGGGATGAGTGACGTCTAAATATGTAGTGGTGGGGATGAGAGACGTCTAAATATGTAGTGGTGGGGATGAGAGACGTCTAAATGTGTAGTGGTGGGGATGAGAGACGTCTAAATATGTAGTGGTGGGATGAGAGACGTCTAAATATGTAGTGGTGGGATGAGTGACGTCTAAATATGTGGTGGGTGGGATGAGTGACGTCTAAATATGTAGTAGGTGAGGATGAGAGACGTCTAAATATGTGGTAAGTGGGGATGAGTGACGTCTAAATATGTAGTGGTGGGGATAAGAGACGACTAGATATGTAGTAGGTGGGGATTAGTGACGACTAAATATGTAGTGGTGGGGAAAGGTGACGACTAAATATGTGGTAGGTGGGGATGAGTGACGTCTAAATATGTGGTAGGTGGGGATGAGTGACGTCTAAATATGTGGTAGGTGGGGATGAGAGACGTCTAAATATGTGGTAGGTGGGGATGAGTGACGTCTAAATATGTGGTGGGTGGGGATGAGTGACGTCTAAAGATGTAGTTGGTGAGGATGAGAGACGTCTAAATATGTGGTAGGTGGGGATAAGTGACGTCTAAATATGTAGTGGTGGGGATGAGAGACGTCTAAATATGTGGTAGGTGGGGATTAGTGACGTCTAAATATGTAGTAGGTGAGGATGAGTGACGTTTAAATGTGTAGTAGGTGGGGATGAGAGACGTCTAAATATGTGGTAGGTGGGGATAAGTGACGTCTAAATATGTAGTGGTGGGGATGAGAGACGTCTAAATATGTGGTAGGTGGGGATTAGTGACGTCTAAATAAGTAGTAGGTGAGGATGAGTGACGTTTAAATGTGTAGTAGGTGGGGATGAGAGACGTCTAAATATGTGGTAGGTGGGGATAAGTGACGTCTAAATATGTAGTGATGGGGATGACGTCTAAATATGTAGTAGGTGAGGATGAGAGACGTCTAAATATGTAGAAGGTGGGGATGAGTGA